AATAAGATTAAAAGAAGAAAACACCACACCCAGTAAACCAGGTTTGGTCCAAAAGTAAAGGTAGGTGAAATTGCCAAAGAGAGCTCCTCTTTAAAAGGCCCAGTTGCCTTTTCTGAGACCAGCATTCTACTAGTTTCCCTGGGTATGTTTCACAGAGCAGCAGTGCCCAGGGATTTTTAATGGTCGGTCCAGTGTTCTCGGTTGAGCCACAGTGTCTGCTCCCGCAGGAGATGAACTGAGGACCCAGACTCCCACTCCCTTGACAGTGCAGGTCTTCAGGAGCCAAGCTTCTACAGAGTGCTCCTCTGCACACTACAGTAGTGCAGTAAAAGCCAGGGAGGTTGATTCTGTGAGATAATTCTGCCTTAGCTCCTGTGCGGGTTTCCAGTCAGGAATCTAGGTAGGGATCAGTCCTGCAAGGTGCTGAGCATTCTGCCCAAGGTGCAAAAAAGCGCGTAAGCACGTGCTTAACTTACCGCCTGTCAGTAGCCCCGTTGCCTTCAGTGGAATTACTCACATGCTTAAAGTTAAGAATGTTCTTAACTGTTTTGGGGCTAGAGTGCACCTCACAGGATTGATCCCATAGTCCTGAGGGGAATATACAGCACCAAGCAACTGCTCCCTGAATCCACCCCTCCCACCCCAGCTCTGGCATCCTAAACCTACAGAGGACTGTCCATAGCTTTGAAGAGGGACCATGCTGTATTTGACCCCAATCCCTCCCTTCCACAGGCATATGGGTGGTTTTGTACACTAAATCTTGCTTCTTTGCTTTCCTCTAGAAGGTCATAGGGACCTTGATCTGGCAAAAAAAAAGTGATGTTGTTCCTATATAATAAATATTTTTAACATTTTATCAGTGTACATAAATACTGTAGTCTGGGAGCCCAGAGAATGCCGCTAACATGTTTTGCTTGCTGAAACATTTATGGAGTTAATTTCAGGCAACAGCATGCAGCCACACTAGTCTGCTAAAGGTAAACAGAAGTGCTTTGGAAATAAACACTAAAAGGTGTTTAAGATCTTAAATTCTTACCAGAATAAAAGAGTAGGCTGAAAAATTACAAATAGTTTATTTTTGTGATTTCCCTTTCCTAGCCTCTACCCACCTGTCTATTTATCCATCCCTGAGAGCTTTTCAGAATAGGTACCATCCCTTCATGAATGTGTAAGAGTGTCTAGCACATTGTGGGGGTTTCCACAAATAAATAAATATACTGAAAAACAACAAATATTTGAACATCATTTCATATTCACTTGCCAGACCTAAGGACTCTCTACTTCTCCTGCATTAGTGAATGGCATCACTAACCTCTATAAAGCAGTGTAAGCAGTGGTACAGGAGACATAGTGGGGGTGCTGACGGTGGAAACCATGTGATTGGGTTGTTATTACTACTTCAAGCCAGAGGGCACGGCAGCACCTCCAGCATCCCTAGTTCCAGCACCTATGAGTGTAAAGATGCAGCTCTCCGCTCTGCCGTAGTGGGACAGTTGATGGTATTCCTCTTTTTTAAATCCAGAATCTGGAGTTTGGTCTTGCCAGATAACAAACCGTTCCAGTTTAATTTTAGAATGTATTTATGAGTAAATACTACCCATTTTCTCTGTTAGTGGCATATCCTGGCACCTTCTCCATGCCTGCAGGGGGAAACTGTAACTTGAATGGTTCGCTGTACAGGAGAATGGGGACTGGATGGGGCATAGCGTGGTGGAGTGGGTTCACTCCCTTGCATGTTGTGAGTTCCCAGTTTGGGTGAGCTCTGTGCATGGCAGCATGGGGAGAGTGGGAACAGATGGAGCTTGGGGCAGAGGAACAGTTTAGATGTGGTTTCTCCCATCCTCTCCTCCTCCAGGGGTTTGCAGGGGCTCCTCTAGCCACTGGCGGTCATAGACTCTGGCCTGCGGTGGAAACTTTGTACCAACTTCCCCCAATGCACAGACACATCTAACCAGTGGCAGCCCTCCTATTCAGGACTGGCACAGACCTCAGAGTTTGCCTCTTTAAGATTGAGACCATTTCAATGGCTTTTTTTTTTTAATTTTAAAAAGAAAATCTCTTTGTACTGCTGTTTCCACTGTCCTCCCTCGACTACTCCCATTCTTCTTTCTCTGCTATCCCTCTGTCTTTCCTCTGCCACTCCACGACTGGGTCCTCAGACACCCCTTGTGAGTCAAAGAGATCTGTTTGTGTTGCAGGGCTGCAGGAGCTCAGAAAAATAATACTGTGATAACTTGTCAACAATGCCGGACACATGGTGATAAATGTTGTGAGTGATTTTTTTTTCTCCTGCAAGTAGCTTCTGGCATTATTTTTTTGAGCTGACACCTCTAAAGTTGCTACGTTGTTAGCAGTTTTCAACTTCTAGAACCTCTGTGAATACTTTAACAGTAATGTGTGTACAATTTGCTAATTAATGGAATCATTTGGATTTGAAAACAGTTTGTCCTAATGGAATACTGCAAAGCACTTGCATTAATTCATGATAACATTATTCAGTAGCTTTTCTCGTCTTTTCTTCAAAGTTGGTTTATTATAGTAGAGAAGCTTGTTCTAAGTAACCAAGTAGAAGCCCATATAAATCTCTTGGTGATACCAGTTCTCCTGGGCTGTCTGAACTCCTTACCGTCTCCTGTTTATGATGAAAGCTTTTGATTTTTTACAACCACCACTTTAACAGAAGGTGCAATGGTTTGAACTAACATTGCCTACACAGTATATCTGCAGTATACTTGAGCACTTTAATGGAGAGGTTGATGATAGACATACATTTTGTATGTTTAAAAAGAGAGCACTTTTTATGCATCATCATGGTTATCTTTCCTCTCAAATGCTTTGGGGAAATCCTCTTATGAATGTTAAATAAATTAATAAAAATAATAATTAATGATTAATAATATAAGACTAGGGTCTTAGAATACTTGACCTCCAAGTCTTGACTACATTTAGAATTGGTGAGGCCTCTAAACTCATTGACAATTAAGAACTTCCTTTGCTTACTTGTAGGATATTATAAAGCCGCAAATTTTGGATCCTGATCTGAAGTTTCATAAAGTTGTTGGAATTAGACAAATTCAGGGTTTGGTTCAGACCTCTCTCTGCCATTTCCCATGTAGTGATTTTACATTGTGGAGTGGGAAAGTGGTTTTTTATTTTACTGTGAGATTCCTAAAAACATTTGGGATTAAATTTTTGTCTGGAATAAATTAGCACCATTCTCTGACATGAACTACAATTAATTTTCTGTATGTGCAGGTAATTCAGACTGGTGGGGTGAACAAAATGAGCAGTTAGAGAAAGGAAAATCATCTCTGACTGACTCAGAAAATAACTGATCTTCTAGGTGGCCATAGCCATATTTTCCTCCTGAGCATGGCTACACATCCATAGCTAATCTCCAGTGGGAATACCACAACTGAGCTGGCAGAACATCCTTCTCTAGTGTGAGGTGAACATCTGATAACATCAATATTGTATTTCATTTACGGATTACTATATGAGAAGCAGGGTATTCCATGCTGAATACAGCACACCTTGGGAGGGGGTGTGAATCATAAAACTGTAAACCAAGTGACTATAACCACTCAAGAAGTGCTCTCTGAAAATGGAATCAATATAGCGATAATAATACTGGGTGCTGGGATGATCAGGTGAGCAAATTAGAAGTCCCAGTCTGCTCTGTCAGTGAGAAGTGGTTTGCACGTAAATGTGAACATGCTTATTAAAAAATGTATTATCATCATTAGAATGCATTTAAATTAATTGTTAAAACAGTAGTAAAAACTTAAATGCCTAGATCTTAGACAATAGATTTGAAAAGTTAACGGTTATCGCAAGCTCCCTTGGTAGGTGTACAGCAGACATTTACAACTCAAGTCACATGTTTCAGAAATCACAGCTAATATCAACTTCTTTGATAAGATGACAGAATTTGTAGGAGACATGAATGGGTTAATTGAAGGATAACAGGTATTGCAAACCCTAAGGAGCTTATAATTGTGAACTGGCTGTTTCTCAGCTGAAGGATAGTAGATACTTAAGACATCCATTGAGAACCTTCTCCTCGCTCCCAACATTAATAGCATAATAATGTTGTGCTATTTATTGTATTTTCACCATCCAACTGAGGATTTATAACTTTGTAAACATTAGTGAATTTCCAGTAACCTTACAGTGTTCCTGTGATGTAGCTATTATTATTCGTGTTTTAGAAGTGCGGGAACGGAGGTACAGAGAAGTCCAAGGTGCTGAGAACCTTCAGGTCCCATCATTTTCAAATGGAGTTATGGATGCTCAGCACCCACTGCAAATCAGCCCATAAGTGACTTCCCACCGTCACGCTCTGTGGCAGAGCCAGAACCCTGAACCCAGATTTCTTGATTCCCAGACCTACAGGCACTGGCTTCCAATTGTCCCAGGGGGTGCTCAACCTCCACTTCCCCCAGGCCCCGCCCCCACTCCACCCCTTCATCCAAACCCCCACCCCCGCTCCGCCTCTTCCCACCCCCGCTCCGTCTCTTCCCGTCCCTGCCCGCCTCTTCCTTGCCTCTTTCCGCTCCCTGTCCCCAAGCGCGCCTCGTCCCCACTCCTCCCCCTCCCTTCCAGAGGTGGACAAGAGGCGCTGAGAGGGAGGAGGAGGAGTTGATATATCCCCTGAGGAACACCTTATAACAGAGTTTTGGGAATCTTCAGAAACAGCTTCTGTGTTCCATCCCAGAGGTGGTAGCATTCAGTGGTAGGTGAAACGATCCCTTCAGTAGTTTACTTTGTAAGTCAGGTTTGCTGTGGTAAGTTTGTAGAATACTCTGGGCTCACTCTGGATGAAAGGTGCTGTATAAATGTAAGTCACTATTATCAGTTTAGCAAATGCTGGGGGACAGGGATTGGTATTATATGCCCAATAAAAATGAAGCATTTTTCTGTAGTTTACAGTCCTCGATGGCTGTGTTAGCTTTGGCTTGTTCTCTTATTGATAGTGTTGCCTTCTTCCCTCTCTGCAGGTCTCCAAGTGGTTTTAAATTCCATTATCAAGGCTATGGTCCCCTTGCTGCACATTGCCCTGCTGGTGCTGTTTGTCATAATTATCTATGCCATCATTGGACTGGAGCTATTCATGGGGAAGATGCACAAGACCTGCTACTTAGTGCAAGGCGGATTACCGGGTAAGAGATGTGTTACATGTGGGGGAGTGGGTTGGAGGCTTGATTCACTGTTGCCCTGCACCTTGTGTAACATTTACTCCAGTGCAAAGAACATAAGCACATAAGAACGGCCATACTGGGTCAGACCAAAGGTCCACCTACCCCAGTATCCTGTCTTCTGTCAGTGACCAATGCCAGGTGCCCCAGAGGGAATGAACAGAACAGGTAATCATCAAGTAATCCATCCCTTGTCACCCGTTCGCAGCTTCTGGCAAACAGAAGCTAGGACACCATCCCTGCCCATCCTGGCTAATAGCCATTGATGGACCTATCCTCCATGAATTTATCTAGTTCTTTTTTGAACCCTGTTGTAGTCTTGGCCTTCACAACATCTTCTGGCAAAGAGTTCCATATGTTTACTGTGCGTTCTGTGAAGAAATACTTCCTGTTGTTTGTTTTAAACCTGATACCTATTAATTTCATTTGGGGACCCCCTAGTTCTTGTGTTATGAGAAGGAGTAAATAACACTTCCTTATTTACATTTTCCACACCAGTCATTTTATAGACCTCTATCATATCCCCCCCTTAGGCATCTCTTTTGCAAGCTGAAAAGTCCCATCTCTCCTCATATGGTAGCCGTTCCAGACCCCTAATAATTTTTTTTGCCCTTTTCTGAACCTTTTCCAATTCCAATATGTCTTTTTTGAGATGGGTGACCACATCTGCACACCGTATTCAAGATGTGGGTGTACCATGGATTTATATAGAGGCAATATGACATTTTCTGTCTTATAGCTATCCCTTTTTAAATGATTCCCAACATTCTGTTCACTTTTTTGACTGCCATTGCACATTGAGTGGATGTTCTCAGAAAACTATCCCCAATGACTCCAAAATCTCTTTCTTGAATGGTAACAGCTAATTAAGACCCCATCATTTTATATGTATAATTGGGATTATGTTTTCCAATGTGCATTACTTTGCATTTATCAACACTGAATTTCATCTGCCATTTTGTTGCCCAGTCACCCTGTTTTGTGAGATCCTTTTGTAGCTCTTCGCAGTCTGCTTGGGACTTAACTATCTTGAGTAGTTTTGTATCATCTGCAAATTTTGGCACCACACCGTTTACCCCTTTTTCCAGATCATTTATGAACATGTTGAATAGTACTGGTCCCGGTACAGACCCTGGGGGGACACCACTATTTACAGCTCTCCATTCTGAAAACTGACCGTTTATTCCATCCTTTGTTTCCTATCTTTTAACCAGTTAACAAAGGATGGGAATAAATGGTCAGTTTTCAGAATGGAGAGGGTATCAAATGCTACTATTATGATCTGGTACTGTTTAAACATCCAGCAGGCAGTATCTGTGCACTGGTGTGTATATGACAACAAAAGGTGTAGAGCAATGATGAATTTGGCCCTGATAGTGCAGGGAGGTACTTGGGTGCTGCTGATTTACCAGCTAGAAGAAAGCAAAAACTCTAAGGTTTTGCTCCAAGATGCTGTGCTGGGTTTAGACAGTTTCACAATTTCCTTTGCACTATTTTGGGAATTTCGTGATTGATGTGTGTGTGTTTGTGTGATGCTGGTGTGAGTGGCCCTATAGACAGCTCTGGAATCAAAAAGAACAGTTTGCTACGGTATTTGTCTAATTTAGACATTTATATATCACCACTCACTGCTGAGATAAGTGGAAACTTGAGTTTCCTACACTCTGATTTTTGCAATTGTTTTAATGGGATTTTCCAGGTTTAGAAGGATCTAAAGCCAACCATCACCAGCTAAGACATTTTTAAACATGACTGTCTTTGTCCAAACTGAGGGCAAAATGATGGTAACACCCTTATAGTTAAAATGTTTTAGTGAACATTTTTTCTGCCACAATGCATTTTTCCGATGTAGGCCATGCCTGTGAGGCTGCATTAGGGAAGTGTGAAGTGCCCATTCTGAAAATGTGTCTGTAAGCTTCTGCCTATGGCTGCGAAAACAATGGATTTTTTGCTTCAGTGGCACGTTAAAAAAAATTTTTAAATTAGTTTTGGGTCAAACCAAAAACAATTTTTTTCAAAATTTCTTACACATCAAAAAGTTTAAAAAAAAATGTTTTGGGTCAACCAAAAGCTTCATTTTGATTTTGAGCTTTTAATAAAAATTGAAATTAAACTAAAGGAAATTTTAAAACAAAAAGTCATTTCAAACTGAAGCATCTCATTTCAGGAATGTTGATAGGAAGGAAATATTTTGATTTTTTTCAGAATTTTTTTTTAGGTTTTTTGTTTGTTTTTTTTTTAACCAAAGCAATCTGACTAAATTCATGAAAAGTTTCAGTATTGACAAATCTGCATTTTTTACTGGAAAAAGCTTTCAGGCCAAAAATTTTGCCCAGCTCTACTTCTGTCCCCAAAGAAGAGAACATGTAGCCTTTGGCATTTAAGGCTTTGGTATTTAAGTTTGCACCATTTTTCTGTTTACTTTATCAGAAAAATCTGCAGACGCCTTTAAACCAGGGGTGGGCAAACTATGGCCCTCGGGCCGCATCTGGCCCTTCAGACGTTTTAATCCGGCCCTCAAGCTCCTGCCGGGAAGTGTGGTCTAGGGCTTTCCCCACTCTGCAGAGCTCCCGGAAACAGCAGCATGTCCCCCCTCTGGCTTCCATGCGTAGGGACAGCCAGGGGGCTCCGCACGCTGTCCCCACCCCAAGCATCACCCCCACAGCTCCCATTGGCTGAGAATCAGGGCCGATAGGAGCTGCAGGGGCAGTGTCTGTGGACGGGGAAGTGCGCAGAGCTGCCTGGCTGCAACTCTGCATAGGAGCCGGCGAGGAGACATGCCGCTGCTTCTGGGAGCTGCTTGAGGTAAGCGTTGTCTGGAGTCTGGACCCCTGACCCTCTCCAGTGCCCCAAACCCCTGCCCCATCCCTGATCTCCCTCCCACCCTCCGAACTCCTCAGTCCCACCCTCCTGCACCCCAGAACCCCCCCGCCAGCTGCAGCCCTCACTCCCCCCACCCGCACCCCAACCCTCTACCCCAGCACGGAGCCTCCTCCCGCACCCTGAACTCATTTCTGGCCCCACCCCAGAGCCCGCACCCCAAGCTGGAGCCCTCACCCCTCCTGCACTCCAACCCCCAATTTTGTGAGCATTCATGGCCCTCCATACAATTTTCGTACCCAGATGTGGCCCTCGGGCCAAAAAGTTTGCCCACCCCCACTTTAAACAGTTCAACAGAGGGATATTTGTCCATAAACATACAATGTAATTAGGAATACAGCCAAAGGAAAACAAATGAAGATGAAGGAATGAACTGAACAGAAACATCCCTTTGTATTTTCCTTATGCGAGCCAGTTCCTTTCTCCTTCTCTGTTTTCCATGTTGATTCATCACCAGAATTGGGTTGTTTCCTTGGTCATTCTCTTTAAGCCTCATCTCTTCTCTAAGTCCTCATCCTTCAGAGTCCTTGTGGAAGCAGAAGCTATGCTTGTTAGGGCATCTTTATGGGCTTCACCATCACTGGCTTGTCGTGTTAGAGTGTGCGTCAAGGAGCACTGCACCAACAGCAATTGCTGGAGGCATTCTGCTTGTGAAGGAGAGAGGGAGAAAGAGAGAGAGTAGGCTGATTGCCTCCAGAGGACCAAGTTGCAAGAGTGTGACCAAGCAGCAATATTAAAACACCCTCTGCACAGAGACACAAGTGAGAGGGAAGGACCAGCAGCCTACATGCGAATATTTTCCAAGTGAGGCTTTCCCAACATAATGTAACTTTCCCTGAATTAGAACATTTAAATGAATTTAGCACTGTTGAAAGGTGCCTGAGTGCCAGCACTGGAGATAGAGTTCTCTAGCTCTCCACAATATAGGGAGCAAAAATGAAAACTCCTTCTATTCTGCCCCATAAACAGGACTCAACTTTGATATGGAGAAACCAGCTATAACGGTGAGAGTTTAGCTCAGTCTCCACAGCCCATCCAGTCATTGGCCTTTCTGTTGAGACTTCCAGCAGAGTTGTGAATTCCTGATGAGTGTGGTGGTGCTTTTTCATGTGGATGTTTGCCATTTGCAGCTGGGCTGAGACCTCCAGTTCATTTCCCATTGGCTAAAGCAATAAGACAGTAATGACTTTCTCACCAGCAGACTGAGTTGGATTTGAGTCAGCAACATAGAGTTGAACAACTCACCTATTCTATAACGACTCCAGGCCCCAAATATACAATACTGTAAACTTTAATAACTACTATCATGGCAGAGGAGTTTCTAATCTATGATCAGCCCTTCCCTTTTCTCTCTCAGGATGTGTCTGTGGTTAGAAAGGAAGTTATTCTGAAAGTAAAAATGAATTAGTGGGAGGAATCCTGCACACGAAATCCATTAGGAAATACCTCCTAAGAAAATCCAGTAGACTGTCACTTACACATCTACGCATCTGCTGTTTATCATTTGATTTATTTGACCTGAGCATCAGTGATCACCGTGAGATGCTGGGTACTAATGACTATCTCAGTCACAATCATATAGCGAAAAAATATCATACAGAGGGAAATTGCCACAAGAGTTCCTTAGTTTCTACCTTCTTATAAGGTCAGCAAATTTCAATTGCTAGAAAATGTACTAGAACTGTAATGACCTGCCATGGATTTTTACGCTCTGTTAATATATATATATATTATCTTTCTCTATGGTAACTACTGACGAGGCACCTCATTCTGATCTTCCTACTCCTGATGTACTTTGGCGTAAACACTACCAGAACTTTTGGAAATCTCACAAGAACAAGCTGTCTCATGAAAAAGATAGTAGCAACAAATAAAATAGATAGAAACAAACAAAATAAACCCCCACATATCTATTTTAAATGTAGGGCCTTATCTTGCAGTCCTAATTCAGGCAAAGCTCCCACTGCTTTCAATGGTAGCTTTGCCTGAATAAGGACAGCAGGACTGTACTCTTACTGATCAATCACTCTCATTACGTATTGCTATGGTCCCAATATTAGTATTTGTGTTTATTTGTATGTATTAAAATGTTTTTCATGAGCTTTTTTTTAATGCACTGGAGAGTTGAAACAGATGTGTAGCTTGGGTTCTTAATTTTACAAATTGGGAGAAACCCCAAACCTATATAGAATAGGCAGGTGATTAATCAGAAGTTATGGTCCTGCAGAGCTTCTGAGCATCACAGGACCTGTGGATAACATTCTGCAAAGCTTCTGAGCTCCAGAAATGCATCACAGCAGTTTAACATTAGTCCAGCATCCCTTAGCAACTCCATAGCACTGAAGCCTGAAGCTTGGTTCCTTTGAGGTAAGGTGTTCCACAGGAAGAGAGTTTCAGTCAGTTCAGTGCTAGGGGACATAAGTGACCTTAAGTTAACCCAGACTGCCCGTGAATATGGAAATGGAAAATCATAGTTGCAGTGTGCACACCAAAGAAATGCAACTGATGTAACCTAGCATCTCCTCATGTATGAGTGCACTCTTTCTTGTTTCTGGAAGGTTGTATATTGAAAAACATAAATGACAATTTTGATTGTCATAATTGGTAACTTGTCTATCCTTTGCAAAATAAAAAAGCCAAACCAAAAAATGCACCGGCGCCTGGTTAAAACCAATACAATTTTTGGTGGTGCCTTCAAATAATGTGTCAAATGCACTGCAAAAGTCTGGTCTCAAAAGCAAGTATCCTTCATTTGCCTTTCCAGTGACTCATGCAGTACTTAATAATTCTCTCATTCTTGTTTTCCCATCATTTATGATACACCTGCAGAAGAGGACCCCTCTCCTTGTGCTCCTCAATCAGCGCATGGACGGCAGTGTCAGAATGGCACTGTGTGCAAAGCAGGATGGGAGGGGCCCAAGCATGGCATTACCAATTTCGACAACTTTGCCTTTGCCATGTTAACTGTGTTTCAGTGCATCACTATGGAGGGCTGGACAGATGTCCTTTACTGGGTACGTATCCGAAAATGACCAATCCCTGGGACCAATAGTGCTGTCCTGCCATGCTGAGAATATTGGGCTCTGGCTTGGTCTTTATTTTGCTCACTGGTTATGTGTGGTAATGGGAGGGTTAATAATATATGGCTTTAATTAATTTAGTGTGTCAATGGGATGACATGGAAGCTGTTAGCTGTCATATTTTTAAAATTTAAATGTGAACTTTCTATTATATTAAAATGTTAAAAGATGGCAGGTGGCATTTTGGTTTGAGAATCTGCAATGTACCTTTGTTGAGCTGGGTGTCATTGAGTGACCCTCCCGATGTGTCAGCTATCTCACACCAATCCAAATTACTAATGCAGCAATATTTCTAATGAGTAAAGATAACCATGTAGTGGCATTGCTGTTAACAAAGGCACTAGAATGAAAAGACCCATGGATTTCATCGGGAAGTTCAGAAAATCCTTCTAGATCTGCACTCTAATCCTAATTATGAACGTCATCCTGACCCTAATTCTTACCCTGATCCTAATTCTGATATTGACCTAGATAATGACCTGAATTTTTATCTTGATCATGACCTAAATTCTATGTTTAATCTTGATGTTAACCTTAAAATTAACTATCATCCTCACCATAGTCCTAACCTGGAGACTTGCATTCAGCTTCCTTTGGCTTTTTTAGTCCCATAGTGTAGTTCCTGTTATGTTTGGGGACCTGGTAAAAGCATAGTAGTCCAAAATAAGGATTGATCTTTCATTATAAACTGGACCTACCTGGGCTCCTGAACTATGCTACTGCCTTGAACTTCTGCAGGGTTGCAGCATGGTTCAGGAACATGCTTAAAACATGATTTAGTCCTGACTATACTGTAAGAGTCTGGATTATAACTATGTTTAGAGACTTCTGTTCCCCCAGTATGATAGGAATTTCAGTGTAAATAGAACCTGAGGCTCAGTGCATAGTAGAATTAACACAAGAATATTCTAAGGAAAATAGGGAAAAGATCTGGATTGGGGTAAGCTTGTGCTGTTAATCAACACCCCCATCTCCTTTAAACTTGATCCTTAAACTGCACTCCACCTGCCACTGGGTTAGAGTTTAAAATATTTCTCTCTGAAGATTTAGAGTGTCTACAGTATATCCATTGCACACGGACAGGACTCACACAGATAATGATGGTCTTTTTACCCTTTTAAATTTAGATTAACCTTGTGATGCCAGTTCCCTCCTAGTGACTAAGATAAGAGGCAGAGATGAAAATATTTGAGAGCAATCTGGGTCTTGTGAAATGAAAATTAGATTTACTTGAAACAAGAGTATACATTAATAAAAACAGTGAAGAAAAACCTAAAACCAGAAAAGAAACCAGGCAAAATTTCTCAGTATTTGATACAAAGAGTATATCTGTCTGTCATATTTCAATAGTATCCATCACTATAGTATCTGAGAGCTGTATCTCTGGGTATTCGAGAGAGACTTACGGGCCGTTCAGTTGAGAGAATCCAAAGCAAGGTGACTAAGACAATCAGTAATAAATAGGGATGCACTTGTGGCAGTGTACACTGTTAATTCATATGAAATGAATCCCCCAAATTATCATTATTTTCTCTAACGGTAGGTTTTACAATAGACCCTCCCCGTGTCTCTACGCTCTTGGGTCCCTGCATCATTCACATGACAGGGTTTGAAACACTTGGGATACAGTCATCAGTTCTTATTCACCTAATATTAGGAGCCAAAAGCATATAGCCACCGATAAATGCTCTTCTACTGTGATTGCTACAGACTGCTTCATTTTTCATGGATTCCCTAGAGCAACCTAGCTTTTGGCTGTTGGGTTTTGGTTTGGTTTGAGCTACTTTCTGAAGTTATTTTTTTCCTTTCATACAGTACAGTATATCGAGGCCTCAAATTATAATGAATTGTTGAGTATTAGTTTTTCCGGACAACCCTGGAGCTCTTAGTCTTCAGGGTGTGGATATATAGAACACTTGCTTTGGAAGGAAAAAAATATGTTCTTCTTGTTCTCAGTTCTAAATTATTCCTAGACAAAAAATCTTAATTAAGCTCGGTGATAGGGTCTTCTGTGGCCGGGCAGCCTAGTGGCTAGATCAGTGGTCTTTCAGTCTGTAAGGCCCGAGGCCATAGTAGGGGGACCCAGACCCTCCCTCTCTACTGGGTCCCATCCCGGGGCCCTATATAGATCAACCCCTAAACAGGGGTAATGGGGTCTCTCATCCTAGCAGGGAGTTAAGCCCCACTTCCCCGGGCTACTTCCTACCATTCTCTTCAATTTGGGGCATGGCCCCGCTAGTCCAGTTGCCCCAAGTGCTGCGGCTTATTTGCAGCCTCCCCTTGGCAGGGAGCCCTTACTTGCCTCAAGTAGCTGCTCTGGATGGCAGATTTCTGAGCTGACCCTTCGAGCAGGCAGAGACCTCCTGCTTCCTCGCCAGTCAGCCCCCAACTGAGCCTGGCTCCCTTCTTTTCTCTACCCCCCGTCCCATCCAGGTCTGGCATTGGCCGCAGGTGTAGTGGAGCTGGGCTAGCTGCACCCAAAGGTTTTCTTTAACCCCTGCTGTGCCAGATGGCTGTTTCTCTGCTCCCTCACAAGCTGGAATTAAGGTTGTAAATATAGTATCAATAACAAAAGGGTAAAATCTCTGTAACTAAAAAATAATCCACACCATCAACTTCTGAAAGCCAGGTAATGCAAAGTTCAGGTTACACTTTAGAAAAAACACTAGGAAAAGGACACCAGAAATGATGGACATTTAGGGCTAAGGTGATTCAAAGAATCTTAACTGTGCCCTTGTATCCACACCACGGTTTGACTTTGTCATGTTATATAGATACATTGGCCACCATTAAAAAGTCTGTGTTTGTCAGCAGTTGCCATATAGTAGTATCTGAGATGCCATGATTATTTCGCGCTACTTAGAAGAGTGGTATTTGTATAGCAAAAGCTAACTTTCAATGTTAACTACTGTACACATCTATGACAAGTGTTATAGCTATAATAGTTGGCATGTTGAAACCCTATAAACATTGACATTTTAACTGTGTCTGCAGATGTCTTAAAAAACATGCACAGGTTTATGCAGTAGAGTATACAAAGCCGAAGACTAAGGTATAATGTCTTTAAGATACCTACAGCAACATGGAGACTTAACATTCTGAATAGTAAAGCGTTAACAGGGTTCCAAAATTTCCAACTCTCTGGAATGAGTGAAGTATTTTAGGAAGTGGCATAGGATATAGGTAGGTCTTGCCAATTTAAGTACTCAGAGTGAAATCCTGGCTCTATTGAAGTCAGTGGAAGAATTCCCATTGACTTCAATAGTGTTAGGACTTTCCCCCCTCACTTTTTAAAATCCTGGCCTTAATCTCTCAATGCTCCACATGCAGTCACATGCACAAGACCTGGACCCATAAGAGCGTATTTGGGGATGGGATCTATTGTAATAACTATCTTCTGAGCACAGGAATTACAGGTAGGGAATTTGCTTTGCTCTCCCTTCAAGTCTGAAAAGGAAAGTATCTGTCCTTAAACTCAGTAGATCAAGTCAGAAGCCTTTGAGCGGAATTAGTTGGTTGGAAATGTTCAGTCAATTGAGCAATTTCCTTGACTGAACATTGCTAAGTGCCTTGTAATATTCAGTTCTGCTTCCCCCTTCCCCTCCACTAAGGACAGATTCTGAGAGGTGCTGAACACACACAATTCTTATTAAAATCAATGGGAGTTGAGGATGCTCAAACACCTCTCAGAATCAGGTGCTGAAAGAACAGCGAGCCACTTAGGAAAACTTTTGAAGTCTGATTGTCTGTCTGTCTAGAGTCTTATGACAGACCCAACAACACCCTGGTACCAGAGTGCAATAATTTGCCAATTTCCTGTTCAATCAGGATAAAATTTTCACAAGTGACCTAGGAGCTTAAGTCCAATTGGCTTTTCATTAAACTTACACTTCTAAGACACTTTATTGCAGATTTTAACCTCATTCTCTCCTGCATCCTCTCTCACACTTGCTGTTTTTCTCATCTTCAGTGAAGCCTATCCCTTCGAGCTCACAAGATTGTTTCCCTGCCTATAACCTGCCTGCCCATGAAAAGGGTCAGAGGCATTTAAATCAGCAAACTTTCATTCCATAGCATGTTTTTTTAAAGTAATGTCAATAAAATCAATAAGCTTTCTAAGCTCCTCTCTCACCCAGTGGATAGTGTGTGCAAATAGGTTGGCTTCCTTTGAATTTTTAGAAAAAAATGATGCCCCTCCTTAGTTTTAACATTACTTTATTTGCTATTATTATTGTTGTTATTTATTTTTTATTATTATTTTATTTTATTAATTTACTGTGGTCCAAATTCTGCATGCAAGACAGTGAGGTTGCACAGGCTGTAAATCTGAGCAGAACTGTGCCAAGTAAGCACCAAATGCCTTCTGCATCCTTCATGCATTGAAAATGCTACCCCAGCACTGTCACTTGGGTGGCAATGTCCAGCAAAAATTCTGCTGCCTCCTTAAATAATATTTAAAGCCCTAAGAAATATTAACAGTCCCCTATCTTTAAAAGTAGAATTGCTGAGGCCTTCTGTTGGAAAACAGCATTCCATGTGGAGTTTGCTTGTGACTTTCTGAACTTGGTGAAGTTGTCCTAGCAAGAGAGACATTGAAGGGGCCTTATGATTACAAATAAGACCACATAGGAAATTGATCGTTTAAATATTCCAAATAAATAGTTCATAATACAAATCCAGAGAAGCACTGAACACCCACAGCTCCCTCTGACTTCAACGGGGGTGGTGAATACTCAACACCTTTCAGAATAGACTCTGACTGTGAGGTTAACTCAAGTTAGGGTGACCAGACATCCCATTTTTAAAGGGACAGTCCCTTATTTAAGCCCTCTTGCAGGTGTCCCGACTTTTTCTTAAAAACAGGCAAATTGTTCGTATTTTCTGTCTCTCTCTCTCCCACCCCCACCCCATCCGTACTGGTGGATCCTGCTGCT